AAATAAATTTACTCAAAAATGAAGCATTTAGGAAAGTGCACAGTGGGAGTATTTTACATTTGGAAGTTAACTAAATGGGTCAACATCAAAGCGCTGAGGATGGAAAAACATGGAAATAAAGCCACTTAACGAAATGAAACAAGACCAGCAACAGGTCAGTGCCATGACTCCTGCTTTGTGATAGCCTGGTGTCTGCCTCCTCTAGTGTGTTAAAATAAAGAAACTTCCATGTAATTATGTAGTTCAATGTAAGGAAACTAAAGTGGTTTTTAAAAGTGTGGCCTCCAGAAAGTGCGATAAGCAGCGCCGTGATGCTGGACGGCCCGTTACACAACAGGTTCTGACGGACGTTTCAGCTCTTGTCTCATTAACGTTGTTTATAGGTTATAAATGTCGTAACGAGCCTGGAACTTTGGTTTTGCATCAGAATCACTTAAAAGAGTAAGTTAAAAGAGTAAGTTAAAAGAGTAAGTGTGAAAGTGTTTGTTTAATTTATAGAGCAGGAGCAAAGATTTGCTTCTCTGTGCATGTTTGTGAGTGTGCGGGGAGGGGACTGGAGGGGGAGTTTACGGTTAACAGAGTATTAACCGCTTATTGGCTTCAATAGCCAGTTAAAATTTTTGAAAAATATGAATCCCTACCACATGATTTGGGTTAAAAACAAATATATCATTCGTGCTTTCTACGTACACATGGATTTGAACAACTGCAGCTGCACTATGTTGGAAGGAGCATTCTCAGTAAAATAGACAAGAGAAAGGAACAAAACCACCATGTCAAATAGTTCTTCTCAAGATTTGTTATTCTTTTTCATGCCTTAGTTTTTATTTTATGCTTCGTCTGCTTTAAATGTCAGGAATGGAACCATAACACACACACACACACACACACGCACACACACACACACACACACACACACACACACACACCTCTACAGAGCTTCCTCATTCTCCCACGCTGCAGCAGGGAATCGCCTCCTTGATAAGAAGAACAGCAACACACAGCAGTGTCTCCCTGCTGAGTGGATCATTCTTCCTTCACTATTTGCCATTTATGGCCTCTACCCACTCCATCATCCTGACTTACACACACACACATGCACGCACACACAACACACACACAAGTACGCACACACCTGAGATGTCAGAGGAGGCTGCTTCAGCAAGGCCAAAGCTGCTGCTAGTCTCAACTCACCGGGATTCTTCTTTTTCAGGTACAGAGTCAAAGTTTATTATGTTGTTTTTACATGGATTTGAGTTTTAATAAAAGCCTACAACTGTGTTACAATCACGCTTTCGATAGCTTTTATGGACATGTTCGTTTGCCACCTCAACAGGCTGATCATTTTCCACTTTATCTCATCTGCATTCAGTCCAGAGACGGGCCGTCAGGACAGGCTCAGCCAGACCTCCAGCTGGACTCAAGAGGGTGCTGTCAGCTCGGCGCTGGCGTTGTTAGGTTTGGTGTTAGGACAGTGACCGAACATCAGCACTGTTACAACCTCAGGTTTAAGTGTGCATTGGATGAAAGCATCTGCTAAATAAATAAACATAACTCACCTTCCAAAAAATATTTCTCTTGTGATTTTTTTTCTCAAAAAAGAGAGAAATACAATGTTTTTATGCTGTTTATAACAATGACCTAACTTTCTATTAGCAGATGCAAACAACTGATCCTGAAGGATTTTGTGTATTTTTAACAGGCTATTTATAAAATGTGCTAAGTAGAAAAGCTACAAACTACTGTATATACAGTAAAAGCTGATTTAGGAGAATACAGAGGACACATTATGATAACAATAATTATGATGACCAGGTTTACTCAACAACACATTAAAACATATAAAAAGTCATCATTAGTGTTTGTGTCACCAATGATCCACTACACAGGTAGGTGTTTAAACTATGACTCCTTCACTTTAAAGAAAATATAAATAGTTTGGTCTGAAATACAAAACCTAATGTTCTGTTCAGGACGTCCAAGTTTGCTTGTTTTGTTTTACCCTACAGGGAGGACGTCCAGACTGTTAAAATGGGCACGCGTGTGTTTTTTCTTCTCTTCTCTTCCAGCTGTGTGCCCAGCTGGGTTCTGTGTCATTTTTACTCTGAGAAATGAATCTGGGTGGTGGTGCTGTGGTTTATAGAGATTACAGACCGTGGACGACCAGAGCATGGGAGGGGACCGACCACTGGCTATAGAAAGACAGCAAACCACACGTCTGTCATCAGAATACACAAAGGGGAACGGTGCTCTGCAGCGAGAAAACGAGTGGGAGAGACATTTCTGTAATGTGTTCTACAGAAATGTTTGACTATAAAGTCAAATGAACGTGATCAAAATTACAGATGTGGAGAAACGAATGAAGGATCTGCAGTCTTTGCTCACCGTCAAGTACTCAACTACAACTTTTGAACTGTAGAAATTGTACAGACTCACATCCACAGGTTATTATTATAGTGTGTAAAATACACAGAGTACACTGTTAAGTCACTATAAGGTTTGTAGAGATTTTAGCCCTCCTTACAGAATTCTTGTTTTCCTCATTTGGTTCTTAAAGCAACACCAACGTAGCCCTGCGAACTAGACCAAAATCTTGCCTTCCAAAGTTTGGTCTAGGAACACTCCATTGGAATATTCACAGCACTCCAGCTGGCCAATCACAGTGCTCTATCCACTTTGTGGGCCAATCAAGGCACTCTATTTCTCTGGTGGGCCGGATTATACAACAGAGTGGAACAAGATGGAGACAGCTCGTTTGAAACAGCTTTTACATCAATTTTAGAAAGTTTGGACTTGGGCTTCGTTAGAATCAGGAGCAGATAGATGTATTTAAGTCCTTTATTTAGAAAAAAGGATGTATTTTTGCCTTCTTCACCAGCGGCCCGCCTCGTTTACCGACATCCGTTGCGTTGAGTACGTCATGTTGTTCGTTATCCAGTAGCATGCATGCGGAGATCATTTGAAAGACAACTGTAGAATCCGCCCCACGACCGAGAGCTGTCAATGGAGCGTTGTTAGACTAAACAATACATTTATTTAGCCTGGCTTGCCAGGCTAGTACTAAAGAGGTTTCAAACTGGTTTCAGTGGATCTTGGAGGGACGGAGGGGGAAAATAGCCTCCATAGTAGAGTTCAAAGGTCGAAATATGTGTGAAAAACAGCAAAGACCTGTCTCACATCTACCAAAAATCCCCAAGACTTCTGGGAAAACATCCTGTGGGCTGGTGGGACTAAAGTGGGTCTTTCTAAAAAGGGGTGTGTCCCATTACACTAACGGTGTGTTTCAGGAAAATCATTATAACAACAGTTATATTGGGTAAACGGGGCGATGAGGTTAAGTGTCTGCCCTGTAATCAGAGGGTTGATGGTTCAAGCTTCACTCAGTCTCTTGCTGTCATTGTGTCCTTGGGCAAGACACTTCACCCACTGCTGGTGGTGGTCTGAGGGACCGGTGGTACCTGTGCAACCCAGAGCAGCTGCAGCTACACTCTAGCTCACCATCACCAGGATGTGAATAGGTGAATGACTGGTTATATTGTACAGCACCTTGGGGGGGTCCTAGAGCTCTAGAAGCACAGACCATTTACCATCCATGGTGCTAATGTGATGGTCGGGTTGCTTTTTACATTCTTCTAATTTATTTAATTCATTCAAAATTGAAAAAAAAAATTTACATGATTTCCGTATCAAGAAAAACTTTTAGAATAAAAAGGAGCAGAGAGATGAACGTAACTTACTCTAAAATCCTCCTCCTCACAATCTTATTCAAACTTTTATAAACACAGATACAGTATTTTCTCACCTGGTGTCATTTTCCAACTAACTCAGACACTAGTTTATCCTTTCATGATTTAATGCATGTTTTGAATACACTGATATTAAATCTTGAATCTTTATTTCCTTGTTCGGGTTCTAACTTTAGACTTCAGTTCCTTTCTGATGATAACCAGTTGCTTTTTATGCTACGCTGCATCAGGACCCTGACCACATACTGTAACTAATGGAACCATGGAGTTCTGCCCTCTACCAGAACACCCTCAAGGAGAATGACCTTTGACCTTAAACTGGTTTATCCAGGAAACCCCTCCAATGTGGCTCAATTAAAACCATGGTGTAAAGACAAGTTCTACAGTGATGTGAGATTATTCACCACTGATCACAAACGCTGATTTCAGCGTTTGCCAGCAAGCTCTTAAAGTCCACAATGTTTTCACACAGGACCAGGTTGGTTTGGATAGCTTTAATCCCTTTAAGTTTTTATTTGGTACTCAGGTTATATTTGTCTGACAGTGAAATCAGGTTACTGAGCTGAAATTTTTTGGATGACAAAATATCTGGAGACTAAAGGAGGCAAATACTTTCCCACAAATACAAAATACACCAAACACGCCTTAAATCACTGTCTTTAACACCTGTGTGTTACTAGGAAACCTCACAACTTGATTTTCTTGGTACCGTTTGGAACTGAGTCCATGCCAGTGTTGTGTTTCTGCTGAGACTTAACCCAGACCCTTTCTCAGGGCCATCACAGCTCTCTTGTCCCGGGTTTGGCAGTCACCTGTGAGGGGTGACTGACTCCTAATCCTATTGAAGTTTGGGCTGTTGTGTAACACTGGGGGCTGCTGCTGAATACAAAATACATCCTAGATCCCAGAAGGGAGCAGCGGAGAAAGTTCTAACTGAATATTAATGAAGACACTGACACCATCCTACCTTTTCCCCCAAGTAGATTTTTTTCATTCAGTTATTGAGTGTTAATGAAAGGGTGAATCACCTGAGTGACAGGTTATTCGGTTTGAATTATCCAATGAGCACCAATCTACAGCAACTCTAATTCTGTTGGGAATTATTTATTTTCCTTTGAGAGAAATTCCCATCTCAGAGGACATGGCATGACCTTCCTTACAGGTTGCAGCCCACGTCATCAAACGCCTCGCTTCTGTGGAGCTGTCACCTGAAAGGACGCACCTTATTAGGAGGATAAAATTAGGAGAACTCACCGGAGACCGCAGACTAGAGAAATAATCCCTGAGACGTGACTCGGTGGACAGCAAAGGGAAGGAAAAAGTTGAAGGTCCGTGGATTTAAAAAAATGACCTTCTGAGATGAAGACGCGATCATGGATGGAGGAAGGCACGCAGCTGGAGGGACAGACGTGTGGATGAGTGGATGAATCCCGTCCGAACCGAACTGAGCTGTAGCTCTGACTGAGACAAATGGATCCTTAAGACACAGGGTCCGTGAAAATACACGGAGCGGAGCCGCAGGAGTTCCTCTGACAGACCGGGCGGCTCGCTGCGTGCCGCTGCATGGACCACCGAGGGACGACACTGACGCCTAGTGGGCACAAACGATACTACACCGTCCTAAATTACCATGATTTCAAACAGGAATTGATTTGTTTTTATTAGTGAATGAAAGCAGGGGCGGATTTAGGATTTTGTGCGTGTGTGTGTGTGTGTGTGTGTGTGTGTGTGTGTGTGTGTGTGTGTGTGTGTGTGTGTGTGTGTGTGTGTGTGTGTGTGTGTGTGTGTGTGTGTGTGTGTGTGTGTGATAATTGTTTCTTAATACATTTCAAATATCAAATTTGACCAGCAGACAAAAAGCACTAGATTATGAACTAATATGATATAATGATTGTTATTAGCTACTATACAGCACTGAGAAAACAAATCCTCTCTGGGAATTTACATTTAGATTTGAGCCATGTTTAACCATCATATGGATCCTGTTAAAGAAAAGGCAAAAGTCATACAAGTCATAAATTAGAAACTCAAAATAGTTAGAACTAGAAAGAGTTGACATTGAAGAAGGAGAAGAAGAAGAAGAAGAAAATATCATTTCTATAGCGCCTCTCAAGATAAAAATCACGAGGCACTTCACAAAAACAAAAACAAAAAATATAAAAAATTGTAAAAATATAAAAAAGCACTTAGAAAATGTTTAAAAATATATTTAAAATGAGCAAGAATAAGCAATTGCGATTTAAAAGAAAATATGTAAAGAAAGAGAGAGAGTGAATAGGAAAGAGGGAAATCAGTGAGGAAGGTGGAATAGGTGGGGAGAGCAGAATAAAGAGAGAGTGGTGAAGAAGGTCATACAAAAGCCAGCTTGAACAAGTGAGTCTTCAGCTGCTTTTTAAAGGAGACCACTGAATCCACTGATCTCAGGCTCAGGGGGAGAGAGTTCCAGAGTCTGGGGGCCACAGCAGCAAATGATCTGTCACCTTTGGTCTTTAGCCTGGTGCTGCACAACCAGTAGGCTTTGATCACTGGACCTCAGGGGCCTGCTGGGGGTGTAGGGACTAAGAAGATCACCAATGCAAGATGGTGCTTGTCCATGTAAGGCCCTATAGACCAGAACCAGGATCTTGAAATGAACCCTGAAGTTGACTGGCAGCCAGTGAAGCTGGAGGAGAAGCGGGGTGATGTGGGAGTGTTTGGAGGACTTGGTCAGAAGCCGAGCACAGGCAATCTGAACCACCTGTAGACGGTTCAGGGAGGTTCTGCTCAGACACGTGAAAAGAGAGTTACAGTAGTCTAAGCGTGAGGAGATGAAGGTGTGGATAACTGTCTCAAGTTCAGAGCGGGACAGAATGGGACTCAGCTTAGCAATGTTCCTGAGATGGAAGAAGGAAGAGCGAACAAGAGAACTGACATGAGAATCCAGGGTGAGAGCTGGGTCAAAGGTCACACCAAGATTCCTGACAGAAGGTTTGGTGTGGGAAGCAAGCTGACCAAGAGAGTCTCTGACTTTGGGAACCAGCTTGTCTGGGGCACAGATGAGGATCTCAGTCTTATCTTCATTCAGCTGTTGAGGGTCTGACCTCATGAGGAAATTACTGTGCATTAATTTTCCTCAAAAGACTGTGTTTTAAAAAGCAAATAATAACATCAGCGCCAGAGACACTTCATTTCCCATGATGCTTTACACACGGAAGCAATGTGATGACGTCACCACAACAACAGCTCCCGTCTCCCTGTAAAAGGAGAGAAAAACGAAACTTAATTGTTCTTTTGCCCAGTAACACTGGCTGTAAAGGACGCTCATTGCACGCTCCGATCAACGTGAGCAGATCAAACACCGAACTGCTGGAAAGCTGGGTTTGGAAATCCAGCAAATCTGCTCTCTTCTGCTCAACTCCAGCTGATGTGAAGGAAACGAGCGGAGCTCCCATCAAACCTCACAAAGACGCTGTAAGTTATCAAACTTAGCACAAAAGAAACTTTGCTCTCTCTGTCCAGCCCGTGGAGAGACACTCGTGAGTGAACAACGGAGGAAATCACATCTGATCAGGGAACACAAGGGACGCCTTGCTTTGCTCCGGAACAGCTGTTATCTCCTGCAAGTTTTTATTTCATTTAAACTTTTACCTTTTCCGTTTCTTCTAGACCAAAATAAATGGTCGCAGCGCGAGACCGTTTCAAATTATCAGACGTGTTTTCCTCTTCTTCCGCACCAAATACGCATATATATATATCGTGAAGTAAGGTCTGTTTGTTTATTATTTAAATGTCTGGGTCTTTAGTCGTCAGCTCTGGCCAGGCTGGTAGACTTCTCTTTTAGAATAAATAATTTACGAGTGACCTTTGTTGTTTTGGTAACTTTTGAAGTGTTGAAGTTAAGTTTTACTGTGATCTTAAGCCACTAAGATTTAATTCCTGTGCTGCATCTGAGAGAAGAAAAAACTTTTCCTTTGTATTAGAGCTGGAGACAGCTTACAGCTCATTCCTCCAGCCTTATCAGACACACACAGCTCAAGAACACACTCCCTGCACACCTGCTCAGCAGAACAGAGGATCCCTTTCACACACACACACACACACACACACACACACACACACACACACACACACACACACACACACACACACACACACACACACACACACACACACACACACTCATACGTGTTTTTAGTGTTTGTGGGGACATCCTCCATTACACACACATTTTCAATTATATTAAAATTGTTTTGCATTATTAATCTCCTTGTCAATTAAATGTTATAAAATTCAGACTTTGTCTCCAGAGACTTGCTTGTGTTGGTGTGAAATCTCTGCTCCTAGGATTCCACGAACATTTCAGATAGACTGATAATCATTTTGGATTCATTTCCCTTTCTAATTAGAATGGGTGATGCCCCGAAGATACCTAATGGTATCTTAATTAATTAATAATTCGGTAAATATTCCCATATTTACAGAATTTATTGAAGAATCCAAAAGTAAGTTAAAACTTACTAATTATTCGCTCCTAATAACCCCAAAACAGCTGAAGAAAGCTCCCAGCCATCCAGGTTTTGATAGTCTAAGCAGGTGTGTAACAGCTGCAGCTTAGACATCTCATGGGGCTTAAAGGAGATGTACAGTTGGATGTCATCTGCATAAAGATGGTAGGAGATTCCTTTGAAGGAGCTCAGGATGTGCTGAAGAGGAAGCAGATAGAGAAGGAAGAGCAGAGGCCCCAGCACAGAACCTTGTGGGACACCATGGGTAAGAGAGGTGGTAGAGGACCTAAACTTGGAGACGGCCACAGAAAAGGAGCTCTCAGAGAGATAAGAGGAGAACCACTCCAGATCAGATCCTGATAGGCCTACCCAGTCTCTGAGCCTCTCCAGTAGCAGGTGATGGTCAACAGTGTCAAAGGCTGTAGTCAGGTCAGCAGGACCAGAACAGAACAGTCCCCTGCATCACTGTGAGTCAGAAGGTCATTAGAGACCATAAGAAGAGCTGTTGCAGTAGAATGAGCTCTACGAAAACCTGACTGGAAGCTATCATAGATGTTATGTTCATCAAGAGCAGCTGTGAGTTGTTTAGCCACAACCTTTTCCAAGATCTTGGAGATGAACGGAAGTTTAGAGATGGGTCTGAAGCTGCTATGGAGAGAGGGGTCGAGACTCGGTTTTTTAAAAAGCGGGTGGATTACAGCATTCTTAAAGTAAGCAGGGACCTGACCAGAAACCAGAGAAGCATTAATAATAGAGAGCACGCTGGGACCGATGGACTGAAAAGCACTTTTAAACAAAGATGAGGGTAAGATGTCGAGGGGGCATGCAGAGGTCTTCATTGAGTTAACTAGTTTGGTTAACTCAGGCAAAGAAACAGGAGCAAAGCTATCTAGGATGATGGGCCTGGTTGGAGTCGGGAGAGGCAGCGATAAGGCTGAAGGAGAGATGCTAGATCTAACCTTATTGACTTTGTCCACAAAGAAAGACAGAAAGTTCTCGCAGTCTGTAACAGAGTGGATGGAGGCTGTAGGAAAGGCAGGAGAGACGATGCTGCTGATGGTGTTAAACAGCACCTTGGGGTTCCCTTTGCTCTGGGACACCAGGTTGGAGAAATAGGAAACCCTGGCGTCTCTGACTGCAGAGTTAAAGGATGTCAGAAGATCCTTTAGGTGCAGCAGATGGACGTGGAGATGGGTTTTCTTCCACAAACGCTCAATTTTTCTGCATTGGCGCTTCTGCGAAGGCTGTCATTAAACCAGGGAGTACGGTTCACTCTGAGGAGATTAACACCTTTCAGCATGTGCATTTTCTGCTTTTCCAGCAGTGATATTGCTAATTCTGTTGAATGAAATTCACTGTTTAATGAGACAGCTGGTGAAAATGATATGTAAATAAGTAAGAATGCATGTAGACCTACATAATGAAGCAAAACTGAAACACTAATATAAAGTATATATATTATATTTTATTCTCCCTTCGAATCTGGGAGGGTGGAACCCCAGCTCCAGCTATGGCTGAGCCCCCAGGGGGTCCAACTTGATATTTTTTCAAGGGGCCCAAAATCTCCAGCAGCCCCCCTGGTGGCAGCCGTATTAAGACTGATCCGATTCAGCCGCGATATGACCGTAAGTCTTTGCCTCTGATTGGGGAGGGTTGTACTGATCCAGGGGAACCATGCCTGTTTGCAGTGAGGCTGCCCGTCTGTGCGCCGAGAGCCGCTATTGCATTCAGCTTTGCCCGCAGCGGCGTCGGCGGTGCACTGACCCTCCTGCTGCTCCATCCCGCCACGATCAATCTCCTCTCCAGAGCCTGTTGTGGGCCCAGAAGACTCCTCACTGCTGTTCTGTCCTTATGGATTTATTCCGCATGCAGGATTTGTTAATTAGTGGTCGGGTGTTGGACTCCTGGTTGCCGGGGCAACCACCAGGTAACTCCGAGTCCCTTGCCCAGGGACACAACAGCAGAATTCTCTGTCCGGAGCCGGGATCGAACCTGCAGCCTT